TTTCACAAGTTCTCATGAAGATGGTGGGACGTGAAAGCAGAATTCTAAGTACAGTTGAACCTTTTTGCAGGTTCTTTCTTGTCTGAGATGTTCCTGAACGTGTCCAAAGCAATGGTAATTCAAGGCACATATAATTACTAGAAGTAGAGAGAAGTCAAGTGATGGGATGGCCCGAATTAATCATGAGTTAAATTTGTTCTGTTGATTGATTGTGCTGCATGTGTTCCATGTATGCTTCGTTAGGTTCTTTATGTTCATTTTGTGAATTCTTAGTGTACCTGAGTGCACACCTACATAAAGCCGCTTGGTACAGTCAAGGCTGTTAGCTGCCCTATGTGAAGAGAGCAAATCATATCAATTCCTATTCTTGTTTCCTGCTTTCAACAGTAAAGAATCTCCTCCAACTCTCGCCTCTAAAGTGGACCAACTGGAAGGTTTGCTGAAGATGCTGCAAGAGGATTTAAGGAAGGTAAACATTTCTTCTACAGAAAATCTGTAAGATGTATATTTGGTGCTGATAGGTGATGCTAATAACTGTGTAATTCTGCTTGGCCGTGCCTGAGCCTGTGACAGTCTCACCGCGGTATGAGAAAAAAGACATTTCTTTACTACTTTTCTTTCTTCTGATTATTGCAAAGCTAGGGTGGAATGTCTAAATTTGTATGCATCTGATTCCGCTGTTTAAATTAGGAGGGTGATTCAGAGTACCTCCGCTCCTAATTCAGGTGACACTGCAAAAGGCTTGAAGTTATCTGTGTAAATATATCCTGCTGATGCGAGAGTATCATCTAAACATAATTTCTACTGTGGAAACTTCCTGTATCGTGTTACTGCCTGTTTGGTCCAAGAAGGATCTGCTGTGGTCAGATAAAAAGTCTTTTAGCTGGGGAAGTATTTGCAGGAATATTTCCTATCGCTTTAGTTAACCATCAGCAGTTGTACGTACATTTTGTACATACAGAACAGGGCATGCCCAATTTTATTTCACCACTTGGAGAGCCAGCTTCTCTATTAGAATTTAATATAGAGAAATACTGCTCATTCAAGCAAAAAGTGAGGAATGAAATGTCACAAATGTCCCTTAGGTATAAAACCGTATGTTACTGCACATAGAAACCTTATAAAGGAGACTCATGCTCTCAAGAGATTCTTGCCTCTCTATATAGGTAGGAAGCATGACCTAAAATTTCCACTAAGATCTCTATTTTTCCTCATGCCTAAGGAAAAAGAGGACAAGGCCAGTCTTCAGGCTGAAGTGCAACATTTGCGGGAAGACAACTTGAGGTTACAGGAGGAATCCCAGAACGCAACTGAGAAACTGAAGAAATTCACCGAATGGGTTTTCAACACAATTGATATGAACTGAGAACACTCTACAGGAAGGAAACTATCTGTTATGAATATTATTACTGGGACTTAAGCTTTAATGCCACCTTAATCATGACATGTGAAAGTATAGTCAGAGCACTTCTCTGTCCTTCATCCTCCAATAACCCTTTTTTGCATCTCTGCGCGCACTCAGAACAATTGCAGATCAACAATCAATGTCTGCCTTTTGTAGAAAAAAAACAAAGTAAATAATTTTAAAAAGGTAAAATAAAAGTTTAACTGCTAAAATGTGAATGTCTATTTTTTGCACATTGTCTCTTTATCTGTTATGTACAAAATGATTTGGAGGCGGGATCAGGCTTGCTGTTCATCTGCCTCTGTTTCCATTAACTCCTTTCTCTCTGTTTCAGGTAATCTGCTTTTCCTTGCAGCTTTGGCAAATATTATGACATCTAGAAAATTAGAAAGAAATGTTTATTTTACTGCTCTTCTTACATTGTTTTCTGAAGTATGCCACAGACAAGGGGATGTAATGCAATGTTTTAGGTGTCTCCTTAGCAAATTGCGCTTGATTGCTAGTGCTACCTTCCCATACATTACAGAGAACGCGTGTCCATAGTGTATGGTACAGTACAACCAGCATCATAACATCTGGTGAGAGACTAGAGACGGGAGCCATGGGTGAGGCATATTAGCACACATCTATTGCATTAGCATTTCTGGTAGCCTTTGTTTCCCGTGGAAACAATGGCTGCAAGTAACTTTACAAACAGCAAAACGAGGCATGCTGCGGTTCATACTCTATCAGGCAGGCTGAGAGATACTGAGTACAGTTGCAGTGCCGCTGAAGTATAGTCCCCTTCCCTTCCAGGGGAATCTGTTACTTGCATATGTGCAGAAGACTTAGGCTGAAGTTGTAAAGAGATTAAGATTTCTTTACCCTGAACTGTTTCCATGAAAGTCCACATAAACCATCTCCGTGCACTTGCCCTCCCATTCCATTTCTCTGGACTTCTCAAATCACAACGGATTTGAGAAATGTTTATTCAACTTGTGTTTTATTACATGAGAGGTCTTATAAATCTTTTACTACGGTAGACAGAGGAATATGTGAAGGTGAATTGGAGAAGTGTGTTTTTCGAAGTACTGGGGTAGGTTCGGAGCACTGAAGTCCCCAGTCCCCAGTGGAACTGTCTAGCGTGAGATTTCCCAAACTGCCTCATGTCAGGAAAGTTAATTTCTTGTTCTTTGAAGGAACAGCTAGCTTGCCACAACGTGTTACCTCTCCGGAAAATACCATTTAGGTGACAGAAAACGACTTTTAAGCACCACAGTCTGCACAGGCATTGAACTGCGCAGCGTGCCGAGAAACCTTTTCTACTCCCTTCTGAAGATGCAGCCACTACCTTAACAAATATTGCCTTGCATAAAGTGCGGTATATTTGGGGGTTAATTTCAAAAGCATCCACTCCCTCCCCTTTACCACATTCCCAAATAGACACCTTAAAATCATTGGGCATAGTCTTGTCACCGAAACTTCCACGCTCTCTTCAGATCCTTTTTTCATACTCTTTAATCTTGCTCCACACAAGTACACACTACACTTCAACCTCAAACTTCATTTGTGATGCTAATCCCCATGGAGTTCTTCTCTAATGTTTTGTCATGGAAATGGATCTCTTTGGAACTATTTCTGGAGTGCTTTTGTAAAGGTTTAGAATGTCTTGGGTTTTTTAATGACTTGTATGAAGGAGATTTATATAATGCCTGATATTATTTGTAAATGGGAAATATTGCTAACATCTCTGAGCATCCTGAAGTCTTGCTTTTATTCTCTTTTATTTTTAAGTTTGGTTTTTATTTTATTTCAAAAAATATTTTGGGACTTGGGGCAGACTATTTATTAGAGTTTTGCAACAGAGTTCTTCTTGTATGATGCCACTGAAGGCTACTTGTAAAATTCTGACAATAAAACTCATTTTAAAGGCTCTTCTAAACCATTTTCTTCTGATTTTGTTGGGTTTGTTGCTTAAGACTTTCCAGAGTGTCCGTTTCTTTCTGCTCTCTTCTTGTACCACTTTTCTCAGTGCTTAGTGATAGAAGAGTTTCATTCTCCATCGTATTTCTACTTTATATCCCTTTGAAGGCCATTACTTGGTATGTATACACACACTTCATCCCTTGTCTTTTTACTTGTATTATTGCATAGATGTAATTTCCTCCCCCATTTACAAGGTTTTGCTGCCTTTAACAGTGACTCTGAGCTTCACCAGGCTGATACGGTAAAGGAGGGGCAGTGGTTTTTTTTTATCATTTATCATGAAAAATTGAAGCTGATTTAGGTCAAAACCAAACTTGCCTGGCACATTTGCCCAAGAGCATGCACAGCTTTCAGCATCCCAGAGCCAAACCTGTGAGCATGCAACATCAGGTGTTAGGTTTGTTTTGTTTTCCAGATCTCCTCCTTTGACTTGGGAGATGACCTTAGACATCTTTTGAATAGACCTTTTTTTGGCCCAGTGGATCACCATTCTGCATGGCTCAAAAATGTGGAACTAAGTCGGTCTGCAGGAAAGCGTCTTCCAGGTTCACTGAATGGATCCTTAAAAGGCACGTGGGGAAAGAAAATCTGCCTCTTTCTAACAGTGTAGTACTCGGCCAAGAGAGCTCTGAAGCAGCAAGAGCAAATATGATTGAAAAATAAGGGTTGCATCTTGGAAAGAAAACTAGATGCTGTCTTACCATTTGTAATTGGATACTGGTAATTGAGTTGAAGCAGAAAGTTTCCAGCAGGTCAAGGAGCTGCCCTGCCTGCACTCATAATGAATTCACGCTAGAGGTTCCCACACTCCACCACGCACACTGCTAGGTCAGCCTAGACCACGGCAAGATCTAACTTGCAGGCATTTTCTCACAGCCTGAGTAGTTACTGGCCAAAGCAGAAGGCGGGTGGGTGGCTGTGGGAGGAGTGTGGGTAACGGGCTGCCTTCCTGTGTCACCCATTTCTCCCAAGGAAGGGATGTTTTATATTCCGAGAAACAGATTAGTATTCCTTGTCTATGTTCCAGTGCGAAGGTACCGTTCTCCCTGTGACAGTGTTTTGGATAGCCAGATGTGGCTGGTACAGCAGTGGAAGGCTTCTCAAAATCCCCAAATGAGGCGGGGGTCACTGCAGGGGGAGTGCAGCTTACATGATCGATAATACTCTATCAGAAGTGAAGCAGTGTGTAGGTAACAGGGCAGAGGGTATGGGGCTGCGGTAAGAGGTGAGCTGTAAGGCACGGAGGGGGTGGGATCGTGAGGGGAGGGGCTGGTGGGAAGGCGACTGGGGAGCCAGTTATGGGGTAAGGGGAGAGATGTTGGGATGAAATGCAGCACATCCAGGTTCTGCTCTTCTGAAAGTGTGGTACTGCCTGGTAGCCTGTTGTTTCTGTGGGAAGCTGTATTCCAGACCCGATGAATGGGTATTGTGAGAAAGCCTTTTCCCCAGCTTCTCCTTTTGTGGGAAAGGTCCCCATGAAGCAGGCACAACTTGGGAGGGTTGTCTTGTCTGTTTTTATAAACCTTTACGTAATTATTCTCTCATGTCCTAGTGCCTTCTTTTGGGTAGATGGTTAACAAATTCCATTTTAAAGCAGACGGCTGTCTCCTAGCAGACACTTCAGTATGGTGTCAGTCCTGTATGTGAGCAACTTGCTTTGCCGCAAGACAGCAGGGGAACAGAGGCGGTTGCTGTTTACCAGCTGGCATGGCATCCAGAATCGGAGGAGAGATGACACTGTCCCTCCTACATAGCTGCAGCAGGAGCAGAGACACAGGCTTTGCTGAGGAGGTTACTAATGGACGGGAGCTGGGCAACGAGATGATGAGGCTTGTACAGATGCCTTCACCTCTTCCTGGTACCAGCTGTGGTGAGGAAATCCTTGCTGTACTGTTTGAGGCATGCTGAAGGGCAAAAAAGCTCATAGAAATGCTTCAGAGCTCTGCAGTAAGAGCCCCTTCCCCTCGCAGAGGTTTCACCTTTGGCTGGCTGTGAGGTTGAGGAGTTTGTGTCGCACTTGTTGGAGGCTCAGGTCTAGATTTGGAGCCCCATTTCCCCAGGGCAGGCAATGAAGACCGGCTGCAGCCACTATCTGGGAAAGGCAGACCCTCTCCCACTTCCCATTGCAGCAGCCTGGGGTAGTTGCGCTCAGCTGTGGGGAGACCCAGCTTGGCTGCTGGGGGGTCTTGTGGGGTTTTGCCCCACTCGGTATGCAAGGTCACAGCAGGCAAGTCCCTTTCTCCGCCTTCTCCTGTGCTTGCATGGACCTGTCACCCTCCAGAAGGTGATTTCAGTGTGTCACAGGCAGCTTGTGTTTCTCCCAGATGTTTGGTGTCTGAATGATTTAAAGTGGGCTGGGCTGTTTGTGGCAGGGCAAAGTGTGGCCAACTCCAGTGGGAGCTCCTGCCAGGAGTAAAAAGCGGGATGCGGCAGCAAGCTGCACGGCCTTCCCAAACCACAGGGCTGGGGGCTACAGAATTTGCAGACTATCACAAGGAAACTCAGGTTGGAAGGATCCTTAAGAAGTCTCTTGTCCAAACTCCAACCTAAGCAGGGTCAGCTCTGAGGTCAGCCCAGGTTACTCAGGACTTTACCCAGTCGAGTCTTGGAAAAAAACCCTCCAAGGATGGAGACTGCACCATCTCTCTGGGCAATGCCTGACTGTCATCATGAAAAAGTTTTTCTTTTTATCAGGCTTATTAGTAGAAATGTGTAAGCTCAGCAGCAGTTGCAGGCTACGTTTTGCCTGCGTTCCTTCAAGAGCTCGTGGCACAGTAGTCTGTACCCTCCTGGAGAGCCTGCGAGTTGTCCTGCCCGGGGCCGGCAGCAGAGCACCCACATTGGCTTTCCCTCTGTTGAGCCTGACAGGAAGGAGCCCCTGCGGCTTGGTGAGTGCTGAGCTTTGTTTGCTCCACTAATCAACTTCCTACAGCACACTTCTGATTTTCTTCTTCCCTTCCCCCCTAGAGATTTCTTATTTCTGTAGTCCATGCCACTTAGCCATGCTTTAACCAAGACCTGCATGGAGCCCCCCGGTTCTGCTGCGCTCCACACTGCCCGTGACTTGTCCTGGTGCTGTTTGAAACTTCATTCCTGTTCTTTCCTCTCACTTCCTCCCACTTGCTCCTGCCCTTCTCTTCCAGCGTAGTTTGTTCGTTTTGCCTGGTGGCTGGTGACTGCTGTTCTGCCGCCGGGGATGTGGTGCAGCCAGAGTGGCTGCTGCGCTGATGCTGGCAGCGGAGCTGTG